CAAAGTCCTTCACTATGAGAACATGCTAAACTCAGATGATGTACGTCGCTTCAGCCTCCATTTTTCTCCACTCATGGCTTACCTACCTGCTCATTCCAGCAATCTTACCTCTGTGGTGAACCAAGAATCTAAATCAATGGCTACTTGCTCACTTCTTCATCTTTCAGTGCAAATGCTCTCTCTGGCAGCTTTGTGTACATCTGGACTTTGGCCAGTTGAGCAGGGGAGATTCATGATCTTATGGCAGATGTTCTTACTTCATACTTGTTCAAGTCAAAGCAGTATTCATAGCTTACTCTCAAATCCTGCCTAAGGAAGTCTCAGTATTTCATTTGAGTCAGGAATTATTTTTTCTGTTTTGCTCTAATGTGGCTTACGCTACATATGCTATTGTCAAACTCCCTCTGCACACTGCTGTCTTTGAACAACTGGCTCTTCAGTCTTTGTACTGCTAAGACAGAGATGAATGGCTTTTTGTACAAACATCATCTGAAGTCTATGACTGTGTGACTGTACAGATAGTCAATTAAAGAGAAGGGAACTACACATTTTTTTTAACATATATATTCAAGCCCACAATTTGTTTCTCTTCCTTGGAGTTCCTGACGGCTTCCTAAGGCTTTCACAGCTATCAAGGAATTGAGCACAGGAAATCCACTGCTTGTTAGGGCCATATAGCATGCACAGAAGATAAGGTTTGATTTCATCCATGAAGGTCCTGGTGAAGTAAAAATTATTTGGCTTGCTGTGCTTGTGTATGTGAATCTTACATGAGAATGTACATGCAGAAGAAAATATGAGGTAACAGTTAAATAACCACTATAGCCTTTGATGGACTCCTTCAAAGGACTCTGATATAAGATCTGGCACATGAAATCTTTGGGAAACTTTTCCTGTTTAAGCCTAAAATTACGAAGTTAACAACTTTCAGAGTGGAGGCAAATAAAGTATTTTGTCATTTTAAGTAGGAAGAATGTTCCAGACAGAATCCTGTAATCTTTTTTTCCATCCCAAAGATGGTAACTTCCTCCTCATTTGCACCAGGGATAGAGTTTGGAATTTCTTCACGGAAGCTGCAGATGTTATGGAAAAAATGGATCAGTGCTACTGAAGATTGTTCCTTCTTTGTTTACAGATTTCAGGAGGCCCTGGTATATCCATTAGTGAGGTCCAGTGTAGGGATTCCTGGAAATCCTGTGGCTGCTGAGAAGCCAGGATCTATTGAAGCTATTTTGCTGTGGGGGCTATAACACATTTATATCTCACTATTTGTTTCAGATATGTGTCCCACAGCAAGGCTGAATCTAGTAAAGCTTCTTTATATTCTACTCATACAGCAGGGATAAGCTGGTATTTTGCGTAATCCTCATTCTATACATATGCACAGTTCTAGTAGCAAAACTGATAGTTGTTTTTCAGTTCCATTCTGCCATCTTCTTTGGACAGCTGTCCAAAAAAGATACAGCAACAACAAAAAAACTACTGGAGTACTAATCTGTATTGACATAATGTCATATCAGCCAGAAGATAAGATAAATAGCATTGCAGTAATTCTTTTATTTACATATATATCTGATGTTGCAAGATAAATGTTATGAAAATGTAAACATGAAACAAATGTGTGTTTTACACAACCTTTTTTTTTTTTCCTGGATGAATATCAACTAAGATGTAAAACGGTCTAGAGCCTATTTGTCTCTGTAGGTGTCAGGTGTTGCTTCTCACTTGCACTTATTGTTATTGCACCTACCTGAAGCTACAGGAAGGTGAACAAACAGAATCAGCTTGGGCTTTTGCAGCTTGCTCACCGGAGTCAGCCTGACCAACAACATCCCAGCCTTAAGGATATGAATAGGTAATTTTACAAAACAAACAAACAAACTACTCTGCAAACATATTTTTTCCAGTTTATTGACATTATATTCTGTGTCAAGGAATAACAGAAAATAGGCCCAAGAGAACAGCCCTTTCTAAAATAAAAAATACATTTAGAATCACATACATCTGATCTAGATATGAAGAACAAGCGAAAATAAGAGCTGTGGTTGCCAATATTCTTTTAACCCACTACAGTCTCTTTTCAACAAGAGATTGCAATTTTTATTTGCTATTTTTTAACTCATTAAGAAATGCTAATTGATCTCTCTTCTGCATTCAGTTCACTTTTCAACTGGTTCTCACTTTTTTCTGTCCATCTGCTCTAACTTATGTGCGTAGGTGTCGTGTGTGTATGTATGGGTGCTATCTTGGATATGTATTATGTGAGCTAATGTCCTGGTTATCCTGATATACCTCAGTTATTCCCAAAGCAAATACCAAAAAAGTAAATGAAAAAAACACTGATAAATCAATTGCCTCCAACTGTATATGTGTTGAAGAAATTAAAGACTTCTACCTAAGGTGGACTTTACAGTCAGACAAGCATCTGACCAGCATGTAAAAATGCAGTTTTACATTACAAATATGATAGGGCATAGGCTCAACTCTGGTGGGGAAAAAAATATCAAAAAACAAAACGCAAACAGAAAACAACTTCTATAAGTTTTAATTTTCTTTTCTTCTTTTCTTAAAAAACCTTCCAGGGGGACTGGATAGCTCAAGGGGTTGGTAATAGGATACAGAGCCTTTCATCTCTAGGTCACCAGTTCGCATCCAGGCCAGGTCAGTAGTGACCAAAAATTGTTACCATTTCATGGGTTTTCAGTGACCTATATGGAATAAGTTGTTGGAACTGTTGTTGGAACAGTTGCTGGAAGCTGTTCACTTCTTACTCAAGAAGATGTGGCTGATCTTTTGGCAGTCTCAGTAGCGGGACTGTTCATCTAAAGATGCAAGACACACTGATGGTGTTTTGTAGAAATCTTTCTTTCTACAACTATTATCAATTCATATTTTTTGTAACAATTACTGTAGCTGTTCGTATTCTTCTGCCTGTTCTGGATCTGTGCTGTGGTCCAATGGATCTCAGGGTTGTTAAAAAGGTAATTGCTACAGGCACTCGATTCACACAGAACATTCTTCACGTGAGCACAGGTAACCTTAATTTATTTAAGCTGCAGGACTAAATCCCCATCTTTCTTTCTTGACGTCTTTATTTTCAGGTTTTTTCCCAAGATTAAACAGAGGAATTCAATCAGTATAACACATGCAGAACATTTTTATGGGTGAAGGGAAAAAAAAAAAAAGGAAAAGATAAGACAAGCACTAGCTGGCCTAGAATTTCAAAGCAGCAATAGCATAATACAGTGTCATAGATCAGGTCAGACTTGGAATAAATTCCAGAAAAATTGCATTCATAGTTTTGATGTTGTTCTCAGATCCATCAAGCTAAGTAGCAGTAGATTTCTTCTCCCCACAGGACAGTAAAAAAACATTTCCTTCACTCCTTTGAAAATGGTTTCTTATGTTCAGAATATTACTGGGACCTTGTTAGCCTTTTAAAACATTTTTTTTTTTTAAATGGCTAGTTTATGTATACATCACCTAGATACTTCACATTTTCTATAATAAAAATCTCAAGAAGCAAGCATGCTTCCTTTAAAGTTATCACCAAAAATAGAAGCTGCCAAGAGAAACTAAATTTTAAAAAATTCATGGTTTTATAAAAGATAGGGATAATTCTCAGTTACAGAAAGGTCCCATTTTTACTGTCTGGCAATGGAGGAGGCCCTTAAAATAATAAGAAAATATGCCCTGAAAATAACATTTCTACCTAAGATCTCTAAACAGGTCCTAATTCCTGGCCATAACATTTGGGAGAAGGAGGGTGCTGAGTGACGCGTAACACAACCACAATACTCCGCTTCCAAAGGCCTTCAAGAGGCTGTGAATACAGGTAGTAAGATTGAGCAGCTCTGGTCTTGCTCAGAATTATGTTGGTGGTGGGAAAGATCCCTCTATGTTGCAGAAAGCAGGGAACAAAGATGGACTAAAACACCTTAATGTACCTCAAGTGTCCATGCCTGTCTTACTGCAGGAATTGGATTGCAGAGAAACAGAGCCCTACCATATATTTTATTTTACCTTCCTACAATGCCCTAAAAGTTCTACAGAGAAATAAAGTAAAATTTAAAATAAAATATAACTTGTAAATGAGATTTGGTATTTGATACTTAAGGAGAAATGATTGCTCAATTATTAGCCAAACAAATACCCCAAAAGTTTTGATAGCTCTGACAGACACATGTGATTAATTACTGTATATATCAGAAAAATACTCTTTTTGTCTACATAAGTAATTATTGACATCTTGCCTGCAAGGGGCTGAGAAGGCAACTGGTCAAAAGTAACTTAAAATGCAAAATCAAAACCCCTAAATATGTCCTTGACATATGTCCTTCTTTAGATAAATGAAGGTTATTACTGACTTAAACTCAATACATGAAACAATAAGACTGGAGCTTGAAATAAATTATGTTAATTCAAGTAGACATATTGCAAAACTGTCTTGCTTTTCTATACAAAGAAATCAATCTTTGTTATAATCTTGCATGGAACAATAAGGCAATAAAGACATGTATTTAATTCCTGCATAATCCTTTTAATGTAGAGCTTAGTTTCTAGATTCATGGCATTTGTGTTTTCAGCTTAAATTTCAAAGCTATGTTGATCTACAGGTTGCCATTTTTCTTTAAACATTTCAAAGCTATAATTTGATGCATTTTTAGAATTTTATTATGTCTGTATTTATATTTAACCTGCTTGTCTTTTTTACGTAGAACACATCAGTGTCAGGCTTCATCTTACTACCACCAGGTCTTCTCTTTTGTTTTTCTTTTAATTATTTTAATTTTCTCACTTATTTTCCTTTCATTACATGTTCTAATGTTAAGTACTTAAAAGAACAGTGCAATGCTACAATTATTAACGTACTGCTTTAACATTTATACTATTAGTTTCTGAACAAGCGTTTATTAAGCATTGGTACAACAGTATACAAACCTTTATTGCTGTAAATATTCTTACACTGTTTTCTTTTTCCCCCTGTATTTGTGTACTAGGTGGTTGTGAATGCCCTTTTAGGAGCAATTCCATCCATCATGAACGTGCTTCTCGTTTGTCTTATATTCTGGCTAATTTTCAGCATCATGGGAGTAAATCTGTTTGCTGGCAAGTTCTACTACTGTGTTAACACCACAACCGATGAAAGGTTTGAAGTCGACCAAATCAACAATTTTAGTCAGTGCGAGGAACTCATAAAAAACAATCAAAGTGCCCGATGGAAAAACGTGAAAGTAAACTTTGATAATGTAGGATTTGGGTATCTATCTTTACTTCAAGTAGTAAGTGATCACTCTTTATATACCTCTTACTGTTTATATGTAATAGTGAAAAGCATTTCTAGCAACAAAGACAGAAAACATATTTACCTGATGATTTTTACCTGTGACTTAGTAATACCGCTGCACTGATAACTGATTGCTCTTTTCATAGTAAGCGGCAAGTAGAGCCTACTAAGATGAATAAAGAATTTTTAGGACATCTGACAGAACAAGCGCTATTCTTCCTATTTACAGCTCCCTTAGTCCTCCAGACCTTCTAACTTTAAAAATTTCTAGAAGTACCTAGGAATGGTGGTATTCAGCTGGCTGAATACTTTAAATTTTACTGTTGCTGAAAAAACAAAAATCTCTATTGGTGTGACTAAGTCACAGAGAAGAATTCCAGGTAGGAAATCCCATCTCAGAGATGTGGCTGCCACCAGTGCAGACTTGCGTGATCTAAGAAGCGGTTTCTCATTTGGAAGAGAAATAAGAAAAGAAAAATGTCATTACATACTATAATCGATGAAATATTTTCCCTGATATTTCTGTGCATAAGCACCTAGTAGAGTTTATTTAGCAAAAACTGAGGTAAGAAAAAAAGGAAGAAAATACATGCAGAAAGATACCATAAGGTTATGCCTTCACTATCAAAAATTGTGTCCTCACAACACTAACTATCTTTGTATTTTGGAGTAGCTAACAATCTGACCCAGCTTTAATAAAAAAAAAAAAAAAAAGCTGGACTCTAACCTATGTTGTGTGCATTCAGCAACCTCTATGGTTTTTTGAGGTTACAGTCTAATTCTGCAGAATCTTAGTTTTGATTTTTATAGTTTTAAAATAAGTTTCTAGCTTTTATGTTGGCATAAGAAATCTTAATAATACAAATCATCAACATGATGCAGTGGTATTGACGTGGTCCTGCACAGGGTCTAAAACAATAGCTCTGGGCATTGTGAACTGCCCCAGCTAATACAGCGTCTGATAACTCTAATAATTTAAATTTCACTATGATTAATTATTTACTTTACTGTCACATCAGGAAAGAGCAGAGAGGGACCAGAAGTATTAAGGAAATGAAGTACTGAGTACTAATTGATTTTGATAACAAAATTGGATTGTAACAGAATTACTTTAAATCTTTATTTTCCTGTCTTATTTTTTGAAATCTACTGGCCTGGAATCCCCTTTGGGGTCGGGGAGGAGGGGGCAGAATGCTTTATCAAACATGTTCAGGAGAAACCAGACATCAACAAAACTCTTTCCAAGTGATTTGCAACTCTTCTTCCAGTAGTAACCCAGTCTATTCTGGGACAGTGATAACACCAGGTACATTTTTTTCCTGGCTTTCTGGCCACAATCACCACTCCTCAGCTACTTGCAGTCATACGTATTTCAGTGCCCCAGTTATGCATAACTTATTCCATCTTCTCTTCGTTGAAACACAACAAATATTCCTTACATGAAGACTTAGATTCTTAAATTATCGGATTGTTCTGGGAGGCAAATTGGGAGAAATTTGCCAATTGTTTCCAGGCTTCCAAAGAAAAAATTAATCTAGACCTACCACAGAGGGACGTAGCTCTCATGGGAGGACAAGCCAGTTGCTTTTGCAGCTTCTACAATATGAGATTTTGCACCAATATCAAAGGCTTGCCTAATGGATGGATATTTTTTTGTGCGAGTAGAATGTCAATGATGATACCACTTATTTTTTCCGTATTACTAAAATGCTTGTGAAAACACGAAGAGATTTTTTGTGTGACATACCAGAAAAAAAAAAGGGGGGCACTTCTGTCATTCCACAAACAGACACTTGGCCCTGCATCTTTTTGGGTTTGGTAAACAAGCTGCTAGTAGTGATTTTGCAGTTATGAAATGATAAAAGCCCTAGGGCAGAGAACGCAAACTACCAGCTTGATTTTCAGCTAATACTTTAGGATGTGTAGAATCTATGGGTTTTTCACCTTCAAGAACACAAGAAAGGCCACAATTCCTAAATGCTTGAGATTCTTACATCACTTTCTCAATCAAAGAAGGTATTTATAACGTGATTTTCTATTTGATATATAAAATACTTCTGATGAGAATCTAGAACAGGATTTTAAAGACATCACGTTCAGAATCAGCATGAGAAATGAATAGGTATGTCTCAACCCTCAATTTCCCTAACTTTCCTAATCAGCTTGTAGTAATAGTATAGATAAATAAATACTGAGAATTAATTAGAGGTATCCATTACTATGTCAGAAACAAAGATAAAGCTTTTGAAACTTGAGTATTTGGTATAAGGCATTAAGCTGAAAAATCAGAATCAAAAATCATGGTTGCAAGTGGATATGTTTTCTGTGCACCCAATGCGAACATTAATGACCATTTTTTAACATCTTAAAGATAAGTTGGAAAGTCTACTGAAGTCGTTCGGTTTTCCACCTTAAGAACCTCAGGCACAGACTTTTGTTTAGGTTGTGGTGGACCTGAGAAAATAACCCCACAGACGTAACTGGAGTTTTTCTAATGACAAACTCAGCAATAACTGTCAATGCATGAATTACAGATACAAGGTCCCTTTTTCAGGAATCTCAAAACTAACTACAGAAAGCCGCCTCTTTACAATCCAGTATTATTTCCATTCCCCATTCTACCCTCTGACTCATGCCCTTTGAGCCAAAGAAGAATATTGCAAATCCCTTCAGCTTTTCTGGGTAATACAACATAAATCTTTATTTTCTGCATCACTGAGGTTTTCTGTCTGACTCCTGGAAGTAATACCATTTTCATGTCAAAAAAAAACCCCAAAAAACCCAGATGAAAACAAGCCAAAAGAACTCCAAACCCTCACACTGAGGACCTTATTATTCTAGGAAAGATGCAAATGAGTCCCATGAATAGTTTTTGTTTTGCATCATGAAAAGCCTTTTCTGGTAGTATATGGGTCTGCTCATCACAGAAAAAAAAAAAAACAAACTCTTTTTTAAGAGTAATATAGAAAAGAGACATAGATATTTCACACAGAAATACTCAAAAGAAGTGGAATAATTTCAGAAAGAAATATTCTAGGCTCAAAAAATAGATTGGAAATGTGTGGCAGTGGCTTTTTAAGCAAAAAGAACTCTCTGAGAAGTTCTTTCTTGAGTTTCCTTGGTGGTGATGGGGAAGGAATTTCTGGAATGAGGGAACTAAGAAAAGAACATAAACTAATTTTTGGTTTGCATATTGTGGTTTTTTTTCTTTTGGTGGAGGGGTGTGTGTGGAAAATCTCTAGTATTGCTAGCAATGTTATAATTCTTTCTGCCCAAAAATGCAGGGTAACAATATGTGCCATTGATATAACCAAGTTTTATAGACTTTTGATCCGCGACTATTTTCCAAAATTCTTACATAATATGGAGCATAAATATTCATGCCATCAGTCATATAAGTACCCATTCTATCTAAGAATTTTTTTATTCTATGATCCAGCGTAGCTCATGTTGGTCTATGTGGATCTGCAAACGGCTTTTTTCATTTCTTGGTCTGAACTTGTTTGAGTATTTCTCTGTCCCTAAAGAAAAGCATCAAAGCAGAGGCAGATCTGCTGGAGAAATTCCTTTCACAATTTTCATGCATCCATGAGTGAAGAGGAAGAGGTTGGTGCACACAAAGAGATGTGGCATCTGCCCTGATAATTTTCTGGCCTTATGCCTTTTTAACTTGAACCTAGTGTTTGGATTCTTTGGTAAGTAAATCTCCTGGAGGCCTGCTTTTATCCTGCTGGTAAGCGTGTACCCTGCTTACCAGGATAAAATGTGGCAAAACCGTGGGTCTCAAAGCACAATGTTATATTATTCTACTGTTACTGATATATATAAGAAAACACATCTTGTGAAGTGTAGGGCAAAAAAGTCAGAAGCTGAATTCTAGGGCTGTAAGATTACAGTGGCTTCAAAGTTTCAGCAGGTTAGTATTTTAAAAGCAAGATGCCATTGCATCTCCAAAACGGGATATTATTATTACTGGTGGTTATTTCTGGTAAAGAAATGGAGTCATGAAACTCCAGCATTATTTGTAACTTTATTAGAAATTATACATCAGGGAAAAAAGTCTATGGACTTTTAACAATAGTAAATTAGATTGGGGAGGGGTTGTTCTGTTGTTTTTTCTAACTACATTTCAATCTGCATCTGAATATATGTCTTTCAAATTGCCTTGGGGAAAAAGCCATTTGGAACAGATGCTGATTCCAGTTACACTGCTATAATCTTTGAAATCCATAAATTACTCCTGATTTAGTGTCACTGAGAATATACAACATATTTTTATATTTGAATATACAAAAAGGAAACTAAGAATTTGATCTCTTAGGCATATTTCTGTGTTATTTTCTATTCAGTATGCACAAATGCCCAAATAATACCTTATTTCTGTTAAAGCAAATGTGTTGCAGATAAATTTAGGCCTAAGCTTCTACTGAATGCAGTAGAAATAACACTCTTCCACTAAATATAATGCCTTGACACTGAACCTCCAGTTCTATTATTTCCTATTGTCCAAGCAACATATTTTAAAATTACAAGTTCTCCTGCAACTGATGCTTCTGCTCAGGGAATTAAGAATCCCTTTTCTCACAGCTAAGTTATCAACTAGTGTAAATGGTTGTGCATAATGATGATTCTATTCACTGACTCTTACTGATTTTTAGGAAGGATTTAGAATAAAACAAACAATACAATGAGGGAGTATATTTTGTTATTAGAATTACTTAATTTTATTTATGTTTTGGGATTGTTTTTTTTCATCATTTCTTCAGTAACGGTAATGGCATTGTTTTGTGAAAGTCATTGTGGAAAATACACATTTTACTTTAGATATTTTGAACTGCAAGATACTAATATATTATATTTGTATTTTTCTCCCCCCATACTCTTTTCAAGTTGCCTTTTTAATAATAATAATAAGCACACAACAGCTCAGTTCTTCAGATCTTTTTCCTAGCTCTAGCTGAAATATACTGTCTGTTTCTAATGGAGTGCTTTACTGATGATAGTGAAGCTTAATATTTTAAAATTAGTCTATTTTTTCCATTCACTCTAGTTAGTCTAGGCTACACCAATAAATTCACAAAACCCAATAATTCCACTTTGCCTGGAGGATGATGTACAAGAATCATCATGTGTTTGAATCTGAGGCAACGGCACACGCTTTGCAGAAGAGCCACTCCATCATTTGCATCATCTTTCTGATGTAAAAGTATGCTCATTTTTTGCATTTAGTGTTTCACGTTGAAGTGCTGATTTCAACCTAAGTCGTGACATTCCAAAAAATGCAAATAATGTACCAAGACAGAAACAAAAGTAGTACCTGTAAGATGTGAAGTAATCATCCAGCCCTATTTAGACCTTGTAAGACCTCAGCTGAAATACTGAGTCCAGTTTTGGTTACCATTTCAAGAGATGAACTAGTGGAAGAGAGCTTAGAGGAGAATAATGAGAATTATCAGAGTTCTGGAAAACAAGATCTACATGGAAAGACTGAAGTAAGGAACAGTGTTCACAGCCTAAAGAAGAAGGGCAGCAACAATCAGATTGCAAATAAGTAAAAGGTGCTGCACAAAGGATGATTAGTACTCTGTTCTCCAGATATGTAATGACAGTCTTAAATGGTGGCAGAAGAATTTAGATACTAGGAAACACTAAAGACAAGACAAGTGCCAGAAGAAATAATTTTTATGAGGTTGTGGAATGTCCATCATTAAAAGTCTTTGAGATCAGGTTAAACACATATTAGGAATTACATAAATAAAGCTGATCCTACCTCTCCTAATCCCTTGCCGTCCAAATATTCCACAAGGACTTTAAATTCTTCAGCTGAGACCTCTACTTGCTTCAGATTTATTGTTGATTTATTGGTCCTCTGATACTATGCTTTGATTTCACCATTGTACTGTAAGTCGCCTGAACTTCGTATTTTCTGTGTTGGCTCCAAGATATGAAAGTTGTTGCATACTGGATTTGCATCTCAGGATAATCATGCTCTTTTTAGTGTTCCACAGTTTCAAAAGTTGGGTTTTTTTCCGTTAAGAAAATAATTCCTTCTCATTTTAAGTTCAGTTCAGGATGATGCCATGCTGCATAAGCAAAGCCTTTTTGAAACCTTCACTAGAAACGAAACCTCAAGATCACGGAGATGCAGCAATAACCATGGATGAAGAGTGTTCCACTCCCAACTTGTTTCTGCGTCTGGTCTCTATGGAATAGAATATGAAGGAACAAATGATCTGCAGCCTTGTTCAGCAAAATTATAATAGGGATCAAATGACAGAGAACTTTTTCACTTTGTTTTATTCTGGGCACAACTGGATTAAAAACTGGGTGATTTCTACTTGGAGATGTTGCCCAGTCAAAAGAGAACTAATTGCTACAGCAGAGAAAATTACTTTCTGTTTTGAATGCTCAGATGAAGCAATCTACACCTCACTGTCAAATATAAAATTTTACAGATTCTGGGCACAGGAAACAGCTACAAAAGTTCACTAAATGCTGCCATCTGTGAGGCATATTAAATCTTCGATGCACATAAAACACATCCTCTTCTTACCAGTTTATCTCAGAACATATCTGAGGAATCTAGCCTCTGTAAAACACAACACAATATATTAAAAGTGCAAAAAGAATTACTAAATCAGGTAAAGTCTTTCAAAGTAGGGACAGATCAAAATTCTGATTGATAGGAGAATACCTTTTCTGAGCTGATTAAATTTTTGGTTCCTTGTGTTTGCCACCTTTATGACTGATTTGAGAGGGAGGGACCACACATCAGTGTTCATTGGCGGCAACTCAGTTACACAAGGCTATTTCTCAGCTGTACATAGTCTTTGCAGTTGATATGATTTGATGAACATTTAGTTCACTAAAATGACACTGCACTCTATCATTTCTGATAATTAATTAGAAATAAGTCAATTACGCTTCCTCCTTAAAATATTCATAGAGAGACAAAACAAGGGGATACACAGCAGTGTATCTGATGAGCAGCTGTGAAGAAAGCCAAGAGACAAAATTATCTAGAAATCTCATGTTATGCTAATTATTCCTGGTGCTGTACTCAGTTGCTGGAAATAATTATATGAATTGTCTTCAAGCTTTATGCTTAAACAGGTGTGTACTGTTTACAGGCTACATTTAAAGGCTGGATGGATATTATGTATGCAGCAATTGACTCAAGAGATGTAAGTACTGCCAATATTTTGAATTCTCTTTTATTCTTGAGGTCTATGTATCAACAAGTGTGTATTTATATATCTTTCAAAAGCAATTAATATCCATACAATAAAACGAAACAAAGTTAAATTAACTAATGTAAGATTCTGCTGTAACAAATTGTGGAAAACTGAATGCGAACTGCCAGATGCTGTCAATAATAGATGGAATGGACAAAATACATTGATATGAGTGACAGGAGTATTCTCCAGACACAAAATAGCAAGGACATTTTGCCCAAGGTTGCTGCTTGTTAAGCTGAGATTTTCACATGAAATCTTAGGAATGATATTTCACATTTTTTTCCTTAGGTATTACAGCAACCCAAGTATGAAGACAACCTGTACATGTATTTGTATTTTGTCATCTTTATCATTTTTGGGTCTTTTTTCACCCTGAACCTGTTCATTGGTGTCATTATTGATAACTTCAATCAGCAAAAAAAGAAGATAAGTATTGTTTCATTTCACTTCTAAAGATATTCTAAAATACCGCATTTTTGCAGGTGCATGATATATGGAATGTACACACAAGGTTTGTTCAAAATCAAAAAAGCTGAAGTATATTAGGATATAATATCTTATCAATATGTAGTATGCATTAACGTCATAAGATTTTACATTGTAGAGAATGGGACACACCCTTCTGTTTTCAATGTCCAGTTTAGTCTTTCTCAAGTCATCTATTTTTCCATGCCTAAACTTCATGAAACCTCCCTACATAATCAAACCCCCAATTTAGGCCTCTACATTAAAGCACTCATAATTTCTTGACTTTTTTTCTTCTTGATTTGTAGTATCTCTATCAGCACAAAAAAACCCTAACTACCTGCTTATGAAAAATAAAGCATTATTTCATCACAGCACTATAGATGCTGTTTTAATGATCCCAAGTATTCAAGTTCTATTTTGTGTCACTGAACAATCTCAAACTATACAGAACAGGAGTGGTTTCTAACTACCTCAGAGCCTTTTTCGATTGTTTCATAGTGCAGATGTAGATAATCTCACTGGTAGAGATGGTTTGAGTCTCAGATGCTCATCTTAAAATTATTTTCTGTAAATAGATAAGGTAATGAAAGCTAAAGGGCAAAAGCAGCCATGAATTACTAGCTTAATTTTCCTTACTGGACTTCATCGCTTTCTTTGGGTTTATGTTAGTAATGAGAGATGCTAAGTAAGATTTTTGGAAGCTGTACATGCTAGAGGCCTAAGAGGTGTGTGGTTATGGAGACTGTCCAGGGTACGGTGCATGCATTCCCATGTCTTCAAGCTTCCCAAACGCTTACCCACAAAAGGGCTGCATCCAGTCCTATGTGTTCATAGACATTCCTGGAATTAGATGTCTGCAAGTAACTTTTATCGAGGAAAAATTTACTTCAAGAGGTATGTGGAGTCTGATGGTTTTTCATTCAAGCTGTCTCTAGAAGAAAGTTACTACAGGCAGTGGGTTTTGGTTAGGTTGCCATGAAAGACCCATAATTCTCTCTTTATCTTCACTGTCAGACTCTAAAGGCCAGTTCTGGCTTTTGCTAATCAGAACTTCATTGAACATGGAAGCTAATCAAGATGAAGAATTAAGAGAGAGCACTTTGCTGTCAACAGTATCAAGAGTGCTTGAATCTTCAGCTCAGTTTCTCCAAAGTCTGATAATCCATCTCCTCAAAAACCTTGAAGGCTTTGAGTCCCAATGATAATGTTGTGATTGCTAAACTAGATACCTAAAGCACTAAAAACATGACTTTGTCTGCTCCCTTTGTTCCACTAAAATAACAGTTCAGAAGTGACAGTACTGAGCAGCCCAGACTATTTGAGGTTACCTCAGATGCTGTTTACTGTATCTCTTCCTATACAAGAAAACAGGTACTGAAAAGGATTTCTTGGAGTTCAAGGAAGACAGCTGTAGAAAAATGCTGCATTACAGTTTTTTGTGAGATATGGTACTGGACGTCAAGACAACTTCTGGACTAAATGCTTAGATTGCAGACAGCTCTATTTGATAGCTATGAGATTTTTTCCCAATTCAATCATCTTGATTTTCATGAAATAAACAAATAAATCACATTTCGCTTTAAGAGTTTTTTCAACTCTGCATACAAACGTGATTATAACCAATTTTGGTTTCATGTTTTTACTTTGGAGGTCAAGACATATTTATGACAGAAGAACAGAAGAAATACTACAATGCAATGAAAAAGCTGGGATCCAAAAAACCACAAAAACCCATACCAAGACCAGGGGTAAAATTATTTATATACATCATACCAAAATCTATTTACAAACAGCTCATTTTTTATTGAGAGAGAGAGAGCAGAAATATACCCATGTGAAAATTATCATTAACTAGTGTATCAGTCAGCAAAAACGTAGACACAGTAGAAAAAATTTTTTTTTTCCTTGCAACAATTTTATGTATGAATGTACAAACAAAGGACGCTAAACTAAGCTGTTGGATTCACTTTAATTTAACTCCTCTACTTAAGATCACTAGCTACATTTTTATTGAAGTCTTATAGGCCTTACTGCATGTATTTTTCTTCTTTCTTCTAACAGGAAATTAAAAACAATTACAGTTTGTATTGGATATTTCTTTTTTTCTTTTCTCCTCAGAACAAATTCCAAGGCATGGTCTTTGATTTTGTGACACAGCAAGTCTTTGACATCAGCATTATGATTCTTATTTGTCTTAACATGGTTACCATGATGGTAGAAACTGATGACCAGAGTAAAGAAATGGAAAATATTTTATACTGGATAAACCTGGTGTTCATTGTCCTTTTCACTGGAGAATGTGTCCTGAAATTAATTTCACTTCGCCATTACTATTTCACTATAGGCTGGAATATTTTTGATTTCGTAGTTGTCATTCTCTCTATAGTAGGTAAGTCTTGTTTATTAAACCCAAAAGAGGGTAAAATGAACATAAGGCTAACTTCTACTCGAATAGCGCTATATGGTTGGCTTTTGCCATTGCAAGGTTTACAACTAAGTCATGCAACTTTTCATTTTATCTAATAATTTACCTAATCATACCATCAAAACTGTTCTAATCATTCAACATATATTGTACCTGCAAATATTAAGTACAAGTGGTATAACAGAAATTCCACAAGTGGAATCTACAGAGTATCTTTAATTGCTACATATAATGACCAATTTGAAAACTGTTCTTCTAAATTTCTGCTATGATACAGAGATTAAGTGTTAATGCATCTTGGTTTTATTTTTTTTTTCTGTTTTAGGTATGTTTTTAGCTGAGATGATTGAAAAGTATTTTGTATCCCCCACACTATTCAGAGTGATCCGACTTGCCAGAATTGGTCGCATCCTGCGTCTCATTAAAGGCGCGAAGGGAATCCGCACTCTGCTTTTTGCTTTGATGATGTCTCTTCCTGCTTTGTTCAACATTGGTCTGCTGCTGTTCCTGGTCATGTTTATCTATGCGATATTTGGCATGTCCAACTTTGCCTATGTCAAGAGGGAAGCTGGTATAGATGACATGTTCAACTTTGAAACGTTTGGCAACAGCATGATCTGCCTATTTCAAATCACCACATCTGCTGGCTGGGATGGTCTGCTAGCCCCAATTCTTAACAGTGGGGAGCCAGACTGTGACCCTAACAAAGCTCATCCGGGGAGCTCTGTGAAAGGCGACTGCGGCAACCCTTCTGTTGGGATTTTCTTCTTTGTCAGCTACATTATCATATCATTTCTGGTAGTGGTGAACATGTACATTGCCGTGATTTTGGAGAACTTCGGTGTTGCTACTGAAGAAAGCGCTGAACCCTTGAGCGAGGATGACTTTGAGATGTTCTATGAAGTCTGGGAGAAGTTTGATCCTGATGCAACACAATTCATGGAATTTGAGAAATTGTCTGATTTTGCAGCAGCGCTTGAGCCTCCTCTTCATCTACCCAAACCAAACAAAGTCCAGCTTATTGCAATGGATCTGCCCATGGTAAGCGGCGACAGAATTCACTGCCTTGACATCTTGTTTGCTTTCACAAAGCGTGTGTTGGGGGAAAGTGGGGAGATGGACGCCCTCAGAATACAGATGGAAGATCGTTTTATGGCAGCCAATCCTTCAAAAGTTTCCTATGAACCAATTACAACCACATTAAAACGAAAACAGGAGGAAGTATCTGCTGTCATTATTCAACGGGCTTACAGACGTCACCTTTTAAAACGAACAGTAAAACAAGCTTCCTTTATCTATAACAAAAACAAAACAGAAGGAGGGGCTGGTCAGGGTATGAAAGATGAAATCCTTATTGACAAGTTAAATGAAAACTCATTTACAGAGAAAACCGATATAACTGCATCAACAGCAGTTTGTCCACCTTCTTATGATCACGTAACAAGGCCAGTCAAAGGAAAGCATGAAAAGGAAGATAAAGATGTTCAGAAATAAAAGCAAATAGCAAGCAAAATCATCTATGTGCAAAATAGTTCTAGGCTGTAAGGATCATGTGTTTGTGTCAACAGGACTCCTGCTGGAGGTCTATGCCAAACTGACAATTTTTACAAATATACTGTACATTAAAGGTCAGTGCCTATTAAAAGACAGTGACCCCTTGTCAGTGACTGTGATACGGGGAAACAAGCTTGACAGGAGGTTACTGTTCTCACTACCAGCTGACACTGCTGAAGAGGAGAGAAAAAATGGCTACTCAGACTGTAGGGACCAGTGAAAGGGGTGCAAACGAAGTATTTGTGTGTTTAGCATAAAACAATACAGTAACTGTATCCACTGGTTGCATTTCAACTGCCACATACGTCATATTTTTACAAAACCTGTGTTGGTGGATTCATCTTATTTTTATTCATATGTTGTTTATTATATGTGACTATTTTTGTAAATGGGGCTTCTGTTGGGGAAGGGGATTAAGTACACCTTTACAGGTACAAGGGCCAGGTGTTCTATTATTCAACTAATATACACACAGAAATGAGTTGCATGAAGGCATGCTGCACTTATAGATCATGCATGAAAATAACATTAAGTCACAAAGAACAACAGATTTCTTTTAGCGCGGTGTTTCTGGAAAGGAATAACAGATTTTGAGGTGCTTAATTAATGTATTCATGTTTCATCACGTCCTAAGAAGTCTTGGTATGCCTGTAAGGTCCCCTATAACTCACGAGAACAGTAGAGACGGATTAATTTTTGCACAGACAATTAAGTTTCAGAAAGTGCAAACTTCCTTCAAGGTCTGGAGTCACAGATTCTGTCTTTGTCAGATGTCTTTCTGCATACAAATACTAAATGAATCTGCCTCAGCCCGCCAAATTGATCAAAAAGATCCCTTTATACAGTTGTTCTGCTTTATCCTGCAGTATTGTTTAGCCATCTTCAGCTCTCAGTAAGGTTGATATTGTTGTACATGTTAATGAAAAGCCCTCTGCTATGTAAATAGTAATTTTTAACCTGTGGTGCATGTTTGAGCAGATAATGACCTAAGCACATTTATTGCATCAAATATGTACCACTATAAGTGTAGTGTGCAAGCGTTCAACAGGTAAAATTATGTATTATCTACCATTATAGATAGTTTGGATGCTATCAATGCATGTTTATATTGCCTATGCTGCTGTTCCTTTGAATGTCCAGGATTCTTAAATATGGGAAGCCATACATCAGAGCTAAATGAAATAAACTACTCAAAATGACCTCATTCCTCCATACCATTAAGCAATATTTTGCAGCTATTTAGGAGCTTATTTGTTTTACATTTTTGAATTTTCAGTGAAAAGCATATAGTGTATATCCAAACTGTACAGACATGTTGAAAACTACTAAACCTGTTGAAAATAATGTTAGAATTTTATAAGCAAATATAAATACTGTAAAAATCATTTTATTTTATTTTTCAGCATTATGTACATAAAACAAGAACTGAATTTTATCTTCAGGTTGATGTCACACCATTTTTACTTTCTGTCCATAGCACTTTTTCACAGAAGAACTCCAGTGAACAAGATATAACTAAGAGAATGGGTAGCTGTAGGTTCTTATTTTTTACAATATTTGCAAACATGTCAATACTTTTTGCAAAATAAGTTCATAATTTGCTTCTAAAAATCTAAGTTTCTTCGCGGTTGGGAAATGGTGTAAAGTTCAAATTGAATGTCTAAGCAGTGCCTGCATCATAAGTTTTCAGATACAACCTTTCTTTCACAGAATCCTTAATCCTGTCTCATCTTTACTCACAGATTTTTTTTAATTCATGCTGCACTAGAACAGTTCTAAATGTTGTCTTTGGTCCACAATATTTTTTCACAAAGAGAAAGTAGCAAAATTGTATAATCCAACACATCAGGACATTTTATGTTTCTTACGCAGGAAAATTAAATATAGATTACTTTTATTAAAATTATTGACTAATACTGTATTAGTGAACTGCATGCAGGAAAATGCTACTATTACCCTAACTGATGCTAAACAACATTATTAATGCGCCAAAATAATAAAGATTACATTTTTTATTGTATGTTCCTTTTGTCTTTATTATCTTACATTAATATAAAAAAGGTATGCTTCTAAAACCAGAGAATGAGAGGACACTGAAAACCTTTATAGCCAGCTATACTGTTCTTCGACATAAACTAATCCTTGGGACTTGTTAGTCACCAACTATGAATTTCTAGTTCAATGCATGTTAGACACTGAGCATGATGATTCTGCGTGTATCAATAGTACTGCCCTGAGTAACTTCATCAATTCATGCAGCAGCTCCGTGCAGTGGGGTACTCAACTGCCAAATACCAGAGCTGTCCTGAGGGTGTCCCAGGAGGCTCAAAGCATTTACAGGTATGAGAACTGAGCATTCATGAGTTTACAAAGAGAAAGTGAGGACTGAAAATAGTTCTAGATGCATGAAATTCCCCAACTGGGATTATGAGAACCAGTTTATTCCTGTTAGTTACTATTCACAAATAGGGTGCAGAACATCTCGCATTCAAGTCAGTTTCTGAAAAAGGTGAATCAGCATTGGAGTGAATAACCAGTGGTCTTTTTCTCAAGATTTTTTAAGAATCTCTCTGGAAGCACCATGTTCCTAGAAGCTATCATTTGTGGAAGCTGGTATGGAAAAATGCAAATGCAGCTGGAAAGTGGGCCTGTCAGTTATTCCTTATCAATTGCTTCAGTCAATTTCTGAAACTGTTCATTTTATAGGCTTACATAATTTTACGTTGCATTTTGTCTACAACTTAAATTGAAAATACTCAGCAGTGAATACTGAACTTAGTATAAAACCAGTTTATGAGCAATTGTATTCTGTATGCCTGCTCAGTTGCTAATGCAGAAATAAAATTTCATAGCATCTTCTCTGAAATTCATCACAAATCTTTTGAGGGAGGAAAATGTTTCTCCTTCAAATTGTTCTGAAATGCATTATGAAAAAAAAGTCTAAAATTTAAATCGTAAGTATCAAAATGAAGAGATAAGTATTTTCAGATTAATGTGTAAACAAAATATATTTTAAAAGGTTATCTTAAAAAGTATGTAAATTATCCACAAACTAACAGGAATAATAGACTGATTCAAAAATAAAGTAGTAAATTGAATATTTTTTTTTATTCCATACACAGCTTTTTAAACTTTGCCTTTCTCAAGGAAATAGTTTAAAGATAAATGAGAACTATGCCACTGTCACTGCAGATCACAGGTCATGGCTGCGCAAAAATACTTGTTTCCTCATACCTATTTTAGGCTTTCGGTGTTACGGAAGCCAAAACGTTACTTCAGCACAAGTAGAGCATCACATAAACATAACACAAAAATTGGAGGATCATCTTGGCCAACAAGGAAAAACAAATACACTTACCTATTACCTCTTTGGTGCCTTGCTGACACTGGGGATGGGAAGCGTGTGACGGAGTAGTGCCACGTGTGATGAATTTGTTAGGAAAGCTTCCTCGGAGCGCTCTCCGATAGAAGAATCAGCTTCACCTGTGAATTCAGTGCAAGATGGGTTCGCCTCCTTGTACTAATTATTGACATTTCTCAGGTTGGACGACAACACAACCGTTCTAAAGGAGTGTTATTTAGCAACTGTTGTTTCTGGTGTCTAGAGACGACGACTGAGGATGCTTTCACCTCCAGAGGAAAACCTGAATTGTACTAATCTTTGCAACTCTGAAATTCCCTAGGCGGAAAGAAAGAGGGAAGGAAGTTTAAAAAAAAAGATAACTTTCTGTATTTGATTTTACCCCACTGCTATTTCATTTCTACAAAGAAGCTTCACATAACTTGAAGTGCTCAGTATTGAGATACATTATGAAAGATATAGAGTGTGGGCCACTTAGTCGTATGTCCAGCCAAAAAAAAAAAAAAGGCAAGAAAATCTAAAAATTCTCAAAGCTTTACATTCAGCGTTCAAGCCGTGGCAGACTACCTCACGATGCCACTCCTGAGGGAGAGCCGCCGAGACCGCCCGTCTCCGCCGACAGGGGGCGCCGCACCCCCACAACCAGCACCGCCCGACAAGGCGT